CTCATCATAATATGTAATACTCGTAGAGGAAGTCCTTTAAAAAAAAAAATTACAAATCGACTGTACGTGTAAAACCTATGTAGATATAAGCGACGGGATGCCGGGTATACACGCATCGAGTCGCTTTGTCGTGCGTAGAGATATAACTGATGTCAAAACAGTTTGATGGACGAGATCGCGTAAAGTTCGAAATACAAAAAACTCGGGACGAAGCACCCGTCAAATCGCATTATCGGACACTGTCGACACGTGCGTTGGCGCCATATGCCTCGCATGATCACGCGGTTACGCGAAATATCGATGCACAACGTCGTGTATTGTTTATTCTCTCTTTCCCTCGTTTTTACATGTTTTACGGACTGGCGATGATAAGCGGCACTCGGTCAAACGATCGCATGAGTAATTAATGACAAACGCCTCGCGCGTCAGCGGTTTTCGTTGGAAAAGCTTGGAGACATTCAATTAGGCAACTCGCCAATCGCAAACCGAGCGAGAGCGAGTCAAACGTACGAGTGCCAAGCGATCGATCAAAATTTTCTTGCGATAAACGTCCCCTTGTTCGTTCGTAATCGGGAGAGCTACGACTCACTGCAATATGCAAATTATACGAAGGCCACACGCAAGAAAGATATTTATCAATATTTTACTTTTTCTCGTGCTCTTTCATACACATACATATACATACACATACTACGGTATAAACCAATCAATCAAATTTGTGTGCATTGTGTTTGTTATTTTATCAATATTTAAAAACTATCTATTGAATATTCCAGTCCTTTATGGCATTGGATTTATGTAATTGAATTACGTGATTATAAGTTTCTGAAAATAGGTGATATAAAAAAAACGAATATTTACATATACTGTATGAAAATCATTAAAATATTTCTCGTATTTTTTTAATCGATTACGATTATTTTTAATCGATTCTTCTCAATTATTGTTTTAAACGATTATATTAGAATCATTTAAAATAATAATTGATAAAAACGTAATCGATTTCAAAAATATACTTGTAACATTATTTTTATAGTTGCGATAAATTACGTGCCTTAAAAGTAAATAAAAATTAGATTACATATACGAATACGAATTCTGCAATTTCAGTCTTACAGTTGATAACTTTCAGTAAATATCGGGAATCAAGAAGTTGTATTTAATCTAATTGGCTAAAGAATTGACAGATGAAAGAAATTCGATGCCAGCAAGTCGCTCGGTAAACGGTTCAAATCGATGCCGCTCGAGGGCAACGTTACCAAATAAAGGGTTAAATGGATCACGACGTCGGTTATATTTTCTCGTGGCGGCGGAACCTGAAAAAGCGCTCGCGATATACTGTTACCACACCGGCGCAGCGCGACGCGGTAGAAAGGGAAAAAAAACGTACTCTACTACCTCAGATATTGAATGGGGAACGAGTGCCGTCCCTCTTACGCTGACCAGTCGCTCTGCAGTAAGGTCATTGCACACTCGTAAACAAACAGGACACGGAGCGGCGACGTCTACGATGAATACTCGTGTGCGTCACTGAACGTATACACACCGATCTAATACGGCCTTGGGCTTTCTGAACGGAGTGATTTTAATGTCTGCCTTTTAAATTCCGGGAATACATCGTGCGCGCGCTTCACGATCGATCATCCAACGAACTCTGCGAATTCCCGGCGAAATGTTACGTGTACGACCGCGTGAACTTTACGGCAAATTCCTCGGTCCTAATTTGAAGTACTCTTGCCTCAACGAGAATATCAGAGACATCGTTATCGATGTTAAAAGCGAGCATGAAGAATTCTTAGCTTCAAAAATAGAAAGAGATGACAAAACTTTGTTCCTCACATAATTTAGAGCTTGCTTTATCTCCATCAAATTTCAATTTGAAATTTAATTATAAAGGTATTATATTAAGAAGAGAGACAATAAGTCATGATTTGACATATGACGTATTTCAATTAAATCAATTTAAAAAAATCCATTGTTTGATGTGATCGATATATATAT